TCCTCCCTCACTGCGTCTCTCTCCTCCCCACATTGCGTCTCCCTCCACTGTGCTCTCCTCACTGCTTCTTCTCCCTCCCTCACTGCTTCTTCTCCTCCCTCACTGCTTCTCCTCCCAGCTTCTTCTCCTCCCTCACTGCTTTTTCTCCTCCCACACTGTCTCTTTGGTGTTATTATAGCCTCTTGTCTCCCTCAAGGTATCCCTACGCTGAATTCCCGGTCGTTGTTCTCTCTCTCTCTCACACACACACACACACACACACACACACACACACACACACACACACACACACACACACACACACACACACACACACACACACACACACACACACACACACACACACACACACAGGCATACAGATATTCATATTAGGGGTCGATTGGAAATGACACCGTGTACAGGAAATGGAAAATGACAGCTGCAGAACAACAGCGTGCGGATGACAGAGTGTGAACAACAGCGTGCGGATGACAGAGTGTGGATGACAGCTTGTGGATAACAGCGTGTGGATAACAGTGTGTTGATGACAGCATGTGACTGACAGCCAGGATGACAGCGAGGATAACAGTGTGTGGATGACAGCACATGACTGACAGCTTGCAAAAACCACAGAAAACACACAACAGAGAACAGGTGTAAAAAAAAAAACCACAAGTAAAAAATATCCACCTTATCGTTGAGTGAGTCAGTGATCGAGCGACACATGAGGGAACTGGAATCAATAATTATATATAAAATAATATATATAATTGCTCTTAAACACCCACATGAGTTATAATTATTTACTAATAATCACCAATTATATAAGGAAGCATAGTCTTAGATAAAACCACAAATTAAAAAAACCTAACCTGACCAAACCATAATTTATTTTATATCTCAGCCCCTTCCCTTCCCTTCCTTCTTCCATTCCCCATCACCCCATCTCCCCCATCTCCTCCTCTCCTTCCTCCCCACCCCATCTCCTACCTCATTCCTCCACCCCATCCGTTCCTCCTCTCCCCACCCATGATAATCTCCCCTGCACCTGTCCCTGATCACCTCCCCTCCCCAACTTACACTCCCCGGCTGCCCTCTCCACCTCACCCCCTTAACCTCAGCGGTGTTCTCGGGGGAAATTATTCCGATCAGGCATCGTATCACATCTCCCTCACCTCCCCATCTCCTCTCACCTCCCCCACTCTTATCCCCTCACTCCCCCACACCCCCAGAGACAGTGTTCTTAGTGGCTGGGGATATTGCGATGAGAAGTGGAGGGGGGGGTGAAGGGGTGGGGGTGGAGTGGAGGGAGGAAGGGAGACTGAGGGGTGAGGGTGAGGGGAGGAAAGAAAGAGAGAGAGAGAGAGAGAGAGAGAGAGATAAAGAAAGAAAGAGAAATAAAAAGAAAAGAAAAAACACCATAAATATCACAGCTAATCTAAGTTTGTCCCGTAAAAACAACAACAACAAAACAACAACAACAACAACAAACAATAACGTGTCGCTTCATAAACACCCATACGTATCGCTCTCCTCTTAGCCAATGGGAGACCAGCACTCAAGATTCTCAGCCAATGGGAGACCAGCACCAAGATCTATAAAGATTCATAAATAATATCTTTATCTCACTCTTTTGACCTCAACGAACACATCCACTCATGGTAGAATCTTTGTGCAATTTCAAGCACAAAAACCTAACAACACTGAACTAATATTGTAAATCAGGCTAATATGTTCACTACTATCTGTTGGGTTCAAGATTAATCTCTATGACTTGGGTGTTATAAAACTTGGTTATGATGTGTGTGTGTGTGTGTGTGTGTATGTGTTGTGGTGTGTGTGTTGTGTGTTGTGTGTGGTGTGTGTGTGTTGTGTGTGTTGTGTGTGTGTGTGTGTGTGTGTGTGTGTGTGTGTGTGTGTGTGTGTGTGTGTGTGTGTGTGTGTGTGTGTGTGTGTGTGTGTGTGTGTGTGTGTATCTGCTTTCACTGGTCATTTATTTATAGTTATTTATTTATTTATGACCTCTCCCTCTTCCCCAAAAAAAAATATTTCTCAAAAATCCAATCGGTAAACGAGGGAAAATTCCTCCTCACGTCGATAATTTAATGTTATTTCCCTATCCACTGGTGACAAGAACCCCCCAGGTGATAATCTCTTTCCTGCCACCACAAAAACAAAACAAAATAGCCGCCAGAAGTAGTATTAACAGCCTGTGGTAAATCCTTCAAAATAGCCGCTAGTTATTGTGTTTTTCTTAGTGTGGGAATAACTAGCCCTAACTAGCCTGGGAAGGTCGTTAACGCAGACGAGAAAAAAAACATAAACATTACAGAAACGTAACTTAACAACACTACTTCTTAACCTCTTCTTCTGTCTGTCTGTCTGTCTGTCTGTGTCTATCTGTGTGACTGTCTCTGTCTACCTGTATGTTCCCTGTGTGTCTGTCCGTCTCTCTATCTCTCTCATTCTCTGCAGTGAAACAAAACACAAAGAGAAAACTGCTACAACAATTATCTACTGGGGAGGGAACACACACACACACACACACACACACACACACACACACACACACACACACACACACACACACACACACACACACACACACACACACACACACACACACACACACACAAGGTTCTGGCTAAGACATTTATCTTATACGAGTTAATTAGTACCTTAAACTTTCTCTTGTCATATATTTTTATTCTTTCTCTTTTCACACCTTTCCTCCTCCTCCTCCTCTACCCTCAGTCTTCCCTTGACCTTCTTCTTCATTCGTACTTTACCGGCACTCTCTCTCTCTCTCTCTCTCTCTCTCTCTCTCTCTCTCTCTCTCTCTCTCTCTCTCTCTCTCCCTTCCCCTCCTTCTTCCTCCTCCTTCCCATTTATCGTCTTCCTTCCCTTCCTCTCCCCCTCCCCTTCCTACCCCCTCCTCAAGCCTCCTCTCTCCCTTCCCTTCCTTCCCTACCCTCCTTTCCTATTCCTTCTTCCTCCCCTCCATTCCCTTCCTTCTTCCCCTACCCTCCACTTTATCCTCCCCATTTGCTTCTTCCTACCTTTTTACCCTCCTCCCTCCCTCCCCTCCTCCCCCCTCTTCCTACCCCCACGTCAAGAGACACAATCATCCACACAAAATCGGTCCAGGGCAGGCTTCCAGTCCATTACTTGATGAAAGAGACTAAAAGAGGGGGTAAAGGGGAGGGATAGAGAAGGGGAGAAAGGAGAGAAAAGGGGGGAGAGGGGACACGAGAAATGCAGAGGTGGATAAAGGGAGAAGGAATTAGAAGGAGTTAGGGAAGGAAGGGATACGGGGCTAAGGGAGGAGAGGGAGTGAAAAGGAAGGAGAAGGGTGAAGAGAAAGAAGGAGAAAGAAGAAAATAAAAGGAGGATTAGGGGGAGAGGAGAGATAAGGAGGAGGTGATTGTTAATAAGAATTAAAGGAGAAAGAGTAGAGAAAAAGAAGAGGAAGAAGAGAGAGATTAAATGAAGGAAAAGCGAGTAGGAAATGAGGTGGGTGGGTTAGAAGAGGAGATAAAAGAGGAGGAGGGATTACAAAGGAGGAGAAGGAGGAGGAAGAAATGGAGGAGGAAGAGGGGAGGAGGAGGAAAAAAGGAAGACAGGAGCAACAGGAGGAGTATCTGAAGATCCTTCCTGGAGTGAGTTAAGGATGAGACAGGAATGACCAATGAGGGAGGAGAGAGAGAGAGAGAGAGAGAGAGAGAGAGAGAGAGAGAGACTGAATGATAGGGGAGAAAATGAGCTTTAGAAAATTTCCCTCAAGAAGAAATAATAATAAAATAATAAAAATAAAATAAGCAGGATAATAGTGTATCAAGTGTTGACAAGAGATTAAAGTTAGTTCATGTCTAGTTGGAGTAATATGAGGCCTGTGGTAAACTGTGGTAGAGGTGGTGACGTTATGGTCTGTGGTTAACTGTGGTAGTGGTGGCACAAGCTTTTTAAATAAGTTCTATTACTGTTGGCAGAAGGCGTGTGGTCAGACCTACTAATGATGTTGGCAGAAGGTGTGGTCAGACCTAGTAAATGTTGGCAAAAGTGGTGTTGCAAGGAGCAGGGGCGTGTGTTGGCAGGAGGGCAGTCATCAGTGGGCAGCAGCTGGCGGGTCCTTCTCAGAAGGTCGGCCGCTCAGGTAAAAAAAATGCTGTATTGAGTCTAGACGCTGAGAAAAAATATAATGTGTACAGAATCTGGAATGAGTCTGAGTTAAGTGTCTGAACGCCCGTCCAGCCTCCAGGGGGCGATGGGGAGGGAAGATAAAGGAAGAGAGGAGGAGAAAGAAAGGAAGAAGGGAGAATTAAAGGATCGGGGGGTAAGAGGATGGAGGTGTAGTAGAAGGAAGAAATGGGAAGGAAAGGAGGAAGGGAAGAAAAGAAAGCAAAGCAAAAGGAAGGATGAAGAAGGATAGAATAGGAAGGAGGAAGAGAGAAAGAGTGAAGGAAAGAGAATCAAAGCAAGAGGGGTGGATGATGAGAAGGACAGAGTAAAAGAAGAGGAAAACAACAGGGGGGGAAGAAGAGGACAGCGGGAAGGGAGAAACAGCGGGAAGAAGAGAGAGCGCAGGAAGGGGCGGATCAAGGGACACTGTATTACCGTCTCACGAGTATAACCCGGAGAATCACACGAAGAAACTGTAGGGATTAAAGACAGCTTCAGTTATGGTTGTTGATGGGTGACCTTCCTGTGTGGAGGACTCTGGCTCGGGGCCAGGGAATGGAGGGGGGATGCATATATGTGTGGGTGGAGAGGAGAGAGTGGTGGGGGGATTGGGTGAGTGGGTGAAGGGGAATATGCCCCCGACAACTCCCAAACATTAAACAAACAAACACAGGTGATCATTCTACAGACCTCTGATGGGATGGGGGGGGGAGGGTAGATACAGGTTGGGTAACTCATCTCCCAGAGTGGTGAAGGCAGGTTGGATCACTGAAGAAATCATCTCCATATCAAAAGAAAGAAGAAAACTCAAGACGTAAATAATTCCCATTCCACGTTACCTGTGTGAGTTGAAGGTGTTGTACAGAGACCTCCACGAGACACGGGATCCCTCTGAGACCTCCACAAGCCCCTTACGAGACCTGCACGAGACCCACCTGCAACACCAATATCACTGCAGTTAGTAAAATTCGGGAAGGAAGCGATGGCCAAGTTTCTGGTTAGGTTTTTTATTAATATGAAACAAGTTAGTTTCCCCGAGGGCCACACACCGACCGCGGGGGCAATAAAACTGTGTGGGACAAGAATTGAACATGTGGGAGGTAGGGGGGGTATTAATATGTGGGCGAGAGGCTATTGAACATGTGGAAGGAAGTAATGAATATGTGAGGGGGCTATTACATGTGGGGATATTGAACATGTGGGGGGGATTTAACATGTGGGAGGGATTGAACATGTGGGAGGGGGATATTGAACATGTGGAAGGGGCTATTGAACATGTGGGAGGATATTGAACATGTGGGAGGATATTAATGTGGGAGGGAATTACATGTGGAGGGGCTTGAACATGTGGGAGGGGATATTGAACATGTGGGAGGGGGATATTGAACATGTGGGAGGGGAAGTAACAATTATTTTTTTAAATTTTAACCAAGGACATTGGCTAGTTTGTTGTGCAACCCATACTTATATTGTGAATGGTAGCACAAAAGAGGATGACAGAGCAGAGATAATGAAGTGTGTTCAGCTCAAGTGGTCAGGATATTGTGGCAGTGAATATTACATAGTCTTTTACGGTACACTGTCTAGGGTCGAGGTTTAGAATATTACATAGGAGCTGACTTATAGGTACAATATGTGGATATAATCATAATACATCAACTATCTTGTTATCAGAGTTTATGCCATTCCCTCCATTTCTCCCTCATTTTGTATTTATCTTTTCACACGTTTAATTTCATTCATGCTCCATCCTAGTATCTACCTTTCCCCTGGCCCTTCCATCCTCAATACTATTCCCTCATGTGGGATTTTCTCTAAGTTGATAAGAAAAATTTAAGACAGACTAAATATCCGTAACACAATGGATAAGATACGTCAATAAACCTACACACCTGGAGGATGATATTGGACAGGTGATCACAATCTGTCCCAGGTAAAAAAGATCACTCCCAGGTATGATCCAGGTAACAAAGATCACTCCCAGGTATGATCCAGGTAATAAAGATCACTCCCAGGTATGATCCAGGTAACAAAGATCACTCCCAGGTATGATCCAGGTAACAAAGATCACTCCCAGGTATGATCCAGGTAACAAAGATCACTCCCAGGTATGATCCAGGTAACAAAGATCACTCCCAGGTATGATCCAGGTAATAAAGATCACTCCCAGGTATGATCCAGGTAATAAAGATCACTCCCAGGTATGATCCAGGTAATAAAGATCACTCCCAGGTATGATCCAGGTAACAAAGATCACTCCCAGGTATAATCCAGTTAACAAAGATCACTCCCAGGTATGATCCAGGTAATAAAGATCACTCCCAGGTATGATCCAGGTAACAAAGATCACTCCCAGGTATGATCCAGGTAACAAAGATCACTCCCAGGTATGATCCAGGTAATAAAGATCACTCCCAGGTATGATTAATGTCAAGGTTCTTCAGCCACTTGAGAATAACAGAGAATTAATATGAATTGGCCGGCCAGCAGCGCAGAGAAGTACCCCCTCACCTTTCTCGTTTATATCAGGTAACTAGATATTGGCAAACGTAACTAAGGAAAATTAATAACTAAATTAATGTTATTTTATTCTTTCTGTTGTTGCTTTTATTTTTTATTTGTATTTAATAGTTTTTTAAGAGTTTGATTTGATTTTATTGGTGTTGTTATTTACCTGGTTATTTGGGTGGTAATGACGTCACTCTTTTACCTGGTTATTTGGGTGTTAATGACGTCACTCTTTTACCTGGTTATTTGGGTGGTAATGACGTCACTCTTTTACCTGGTTATTTGGGTGTTAATGACGTCACCTTTTCACCTGGTCAATATCTTTACTTTCACTTTATGGTAGAAAGTGTAATTATCATCCCATCTTCTGTCAGTTTTCCTTTTTTCTTTTACTTTCTTCCCTCTTTCCTTCCTTCCTATCATTCCATACTCTCCCCCCTTACCCCTACTTCCTCCTCTTCCTAACTCCCCCTTTCTCCATTCCTCCTAACCCTTCCCTTCTTCCTCTCCTTTATACTTTCACCTCACCAACTATTCCTCTCTTTCCCTCTCCCATTCCCGTCTTTCTCCGCCAAACCTCCCTCCTCCATTCCCCCCTCTCTCTTCCTTTCCCTCCCTACCTCCTCCCGAAGGCCAGGCAGGAGGTCAGGGTGCTCTCAGGGGCTCGGGGTTGATATCCGTCATCTGAGAAAGTTGTGATTAGTTATGCCTATCATATATAAGACGATTCTTGTAGTTGTTTTTTTTACTCGTGATCTCAATATATGTGTGTGTGTGTGTGTGTGTGTGTGTGTGTGTGTGTGTGTGTGTGTGTGTGTGTGTGTGTGTGTGTGGAATAAATTTCTAGATAAACGAACAAATAAATAAATAAATAAATAAATAACAAAGCCACCACCACCATAATACAACCTGAATAAAACAAAAGCCACCACTATAACATGACACGGATGGACGGAACAAAGCCGGCAGCTGGAAAACTCAATTATTACGACAACTACCCTTAACTCATAGAGGATTAGAGAATAAACCAAATTACACAGGTAACAAAAGCTCTCACAGGTAAAAGCTTCTCTCAGGTGAAAAGTAATTAAGGTGAAAATATGGAACAGTGAAACAAATTTGTTGGAAATTTACTTCGTTTTAGTCGTCTTTTGTTTCTAAATTTTGTTCTGTATTTTTACGTCTTTTCATTATTGTTATTGTTGGTTTAATATATAATAATGATAAAGGATATGATAATTAATAGTAACATTTATTATTATTATTATTATTATTATTATTATTATTATTATTATTATTATTATTATTATTATTATTATTATTATTATTATTATTATTATTATTATTGTCTCTGCTCATATGTGCGTGTGTGTGAGTGCGTGTGTGTGAGGGCGTATGTGTGTGTGTGTGTGTGTGTGAGTGCGTGTGTGTGAGGGCGTGTGTGTGTGTGTGTGGGGGCGTGTGTGTGAGGGGCGTATGTGTGTGTGTGTGTGTGCAGGCGTGTGTGTGTGTGTGTGTGTGTGTGTGGGGGCGTGTGTGTGAGGGCGTATGTGTGTGTGTGTGTGTGGGCGTGTGTGTGGGGCGTGTGTGTGTGTGTGTGTGTGTGTGTGTGTGGGGCGTGTGTGTGAGGGCGTGTGTGTGGAGACGTGTGTGTGGGCGTGTGTGTGTGTGTGTGTGTGTGGGGCGTGTGTGTGTGTGTGTGTGAGGCGTGTGTGTGAGGGCGTGTGTGTGAGGGGCGTATGTGTGTGTGTGTGTGTGTGGGGGCGTGTGTGTGTTTGTGTGCCTGCAAACACCTTGACGTGGGGGGGAATCGAGGCATGATGAAACTGGCTGGAAGGTGAGACAAGGCTTACTGGACCAACATAGTGAAATATATTATATACTGTAATTTAGATATTGTTGTTATTATTATTATTATTATTATTATTATTATTATTATTATTATTATTATTATTATTATTATTATTATTATTATTATTATTATTATTATTATTATTATTATTATTATTATATTTTCCCGCCCTGCTCCCACCTTCCTCTTTCATTACCTCACGTTAAAGGAATTCCATTATTAATTTTTTTTCGCCTTATGGCTACACGAACATCCTGCCCTGCCTCTCTCTCTCTCACTTTACCCTGCCTCTCTCTCTCTCACTTTACCCTGCCTCTCTCTCTCATCCACCCTGCCTCGCTCTCACTCAAATACTCCAAAAATATGAAGAATGATAAAAAAAATAATGATGAAAAAAAATTGTAGTGACGTCGAAGGATGACCTCGAAGTATAGATATACAACATTGACCTCTTGACATTTGACCCCGTGGCCCGCCCCTAAAAGTAATAAAGACTTTGGCAACTATGTCAAGATTAACAACGTCAGTAATCTAGCCGAGGGGTAAGCCAAGCCGAGGGATAAACCAAGCCGAGGGGTGAGCCAAGCCGAGGGGTGAGCCAAGCCGAGGGGTGAGCCAAGCCGGGTAAGCCAAGCCGAGGATAAACCAAGCCGAGGTAAGCCAAGCCGAGGTAAACCAAAGCCGAGGATAAACCAAGCCGAGGATAAACCAATAGCCAAGCCGAGGGTAAACCAAGCCGAGGGTGAGCCAAGCCGAGGGGGAGCAGGGGGCAGTTATTGAGCGTGTGGAGTTATATGCTCCATCATATAAAAATTGTTGAATGTGAAAGAGAATAATAAAAAAAAAAACTTTGTAGTCTGTCCCTCTGTAAACCTGGTGATTATATTAATGAGTTGTGGCCTGCCTAGTAGTGTGTGTGTGTGTGTGTGTGTGCGTGTGTGTGTGTGTGTGTGTGTGTGTGTGTGAGGACCAACAACCACTTGACTCTCACCATTACTGTCACAAGTTATGACACTGTTCCCTCAGGTGTCATAAAGTGTCAGCCGTTACACTAACACACGTAACTAAGACCCACAGGTGAGACAGGTGAGAGCCACTCAGGTGTACCAGGTATCATACTCTCTAAAAAAAACTCCTACCTTCATTTTACCTCGTAACTTGTGGGAGAGAAATCGTCTAGTTAGGGTAGAATCTCATGAACTGTTTCGTCCCTATGTTAACCTCATCATTTTCGTAAGTGCGTCATGTCAAGGTATTCTTTACACTTCAGTTTAGGGACTCCCCTACGCAGATTAATGGACTAGCCCAAGGACTCCCCTATGCAGAATAATGGACGAGACCAAGGACTCCCCTACGAAGAATAATGGACGAGCCCAAGGACTCCCTATGGGGAATAAGTACCACTAAGGATCTAGGGCCACTTACACCACGTTAATGTTATCATCTGTTTGTCTGTGATCACTTGTGCTGCCTCTGCCAACATTTTTTAGTAGATATTGTCTCACTCCGGTAACTGCCTCGT